ATGTCAAAATGTCTTTAAATAATTTCTTTACTTTTTGTCGTATAATATTATCGCAGATACCTGACTTATCTTTCATACATGACCTCTACATTCTGGTATTCTATAAAAAAACGTCTCAGCTCTTTGAAGTTTAGTTAACAGAGACATAAAATGAAGACTAGGTATAAACAAAGCGAGTTGACAAGATGGTTAACTTCTCAATTTATTTTTTGAAAAGAAAAGTTTTGGTTCATTGTTCCTTATTTCCCTTTGTTAAAGTATTTTAATCTATATAGGGCAAACATAAAGACTTATCATTGGGATTAAATGGTCATAAGAAATATATATTCAACTTTAACTTTTAATTTTAAGTTAAGAGATTCTTAACTGTAGCCTAGAGAGCAATTGCCCTAAATTTGCCAGTGAAAAAGCAAAAGGCAAACTATTAATGGCTTGGCACAGATAAGCCCAAATGGTGTTAATAAAAGATTTGAAAATGATTTTTAAAGAACAGAAAGAGGACAGGACATAGGGCAGAAATAATTAATCGCCCTGAACGAAGAGAGACAGAGGAAAAGATGTAGAGGTTAGCAAGTAGGAAGGCATGCTGGGAGGGAGTAAAGGAAAAGTTCGAAATTACATGGGAGGAGGAAAGGGAGGGGAGGGTAAAAGGTTAGAAGAAAGGAGTGATTAGATGGGGAATGATCATGGTAATATTAATGGTAATATTAGAAAAAAGAGACTGACACTGAGAAGCAATAATTAATCATCAGGAGTGAACGTAAAGATAAGGCAAAGTTACCAAAAAAAAGAGAAGAAAAAAAGCTAAGGATGTGGGGAACTGAGGAAAATTTAAATGTGAGGTAGACTAATAAGATAGATTTTTAAATGTTTCAATGTACAGTATATTATAGATGTCAAATCGCATTGGAATGAATCATCTGCCAGCTGGCTTTTTGTATCTTAATCTGTTTTGGCCCAAAACTTTTTTTTTGGCATTAAACACATCACACATGTTCATTCAATCAAAGTCAATTGTCAATTTATTTGATATACAAAACAATCTTCCTGCCTCAGGACGACAGATGTAAACTAGCAACTATGCTATAATCTGGCTCATTTACAATCTGTATGAGATTGTTCATTAATGTGCACTGTCCTGATTAAATAAATAAATAAATAAATACTTTCCATTTCCTTAAAAAACTATCTAAGATATGCAGAAGAAAATTTGTTTATAAAAGAGCAACAGTATTTACGGCTCGGCCATCAACGGAGTCCTATTTAAAACTAAACTGATATGCTAGTTTTCCAGTTTGTGCCACAAATAAGGTAGATTGTCTGCTCTCCGGATGTGGCCTGCTACTTCATTGTATTTGTGCAACAAACACACCATCAGCATTTTCTTAGCACCACTGAGAAGTATTACTCAACTCAAAAATCCTTCCTGAAACCCATGTGAGGTGAACATATTGGTTTTCTCCGCATTCAGAAATAAACTAATTTCACTCCTTCACACTGACAGTCCTACCCCTAAGGTGCTGCTATTCAGATGACTTGTTGACAGCAGGGAAGAAATGTGAACTGGGTTTTAGTTTGCGCTTTTATAGTTTCACAGAGTCTCACGGAGACTATAAAAGGATTCATTGTGTGGAATGTCTTGACTTGTAAGTGTGCTTATAGAAAAGTTAGAAGAGTCAAGAAACAAGAAATACCTGACTTGACATAATATGAACCAAACCAGAAAAAGACCAAAAAATGACCCCAGTTTGCAATTGAAGTGAAGGCCACTCTGCATCTTCTGCCACATTTGCCACATTCTGCCGTCTGCCACAACTTCTATTTTTGCCATTGTGGGACATAAAACATAACAGGCATCGCGTTCTATGCTTAACCATTGCTTTATTGAATTGTCAACTCACTCCAACAATTGCTCATTATAGCATTCTTTATACAGAGGACTTACACAGAGGAAGTACTAATGTACTTCAGACACTAGTTGAATGCTATGGACATGAAGAAATTCCCATTGATGCATTACATAAACACTTGGAGCAAATTAGAGACGAAGGGTACATAGGTACAAGTCTTGAGAGGGCAAAAAGCATTTGATTTACTGATTATGAAATAATATCAGTTTCAAAATAGCTACATGTTTTATGGACTATTTTCTAAAACTCAAATTAGTTGAAGGTATTGGCAATTCAAGCACAGCTCATAGTCATGCTAATCAGTGATTGTCAAACTTTTTCCGTTGTTCCCCCCATTTGAAAAATTAAAGATTTTCAGCCCTCTGGCCCCCAACAATTAAAAAGAAAAACTGTCAAAAATTGAACTTTTATAAAGGAGGTCAAGATGGCTATTTTACCCGAAAAGAACGCTCATAAAATAATGTAAAATGTGCAGTCCCATATGTGGAAACAGTAATAATAAAGTTAATAGATAAAGAGATTCTAAACAACTGAGAAGTTTTTTAATATATTTCTCCCTGCTGTATAGGAACAATTGATGAAACCTCTCTGATTTTAGATAAGTCAATAGCAATACACTGGGAAAACTGTCCGTTTAAGTCATACTGAAGAGGGGGTTGGAAGATAAAGAAAAATAACTGAGACTGATGGCAACATCCATAGAGAATATTGGTTTAGTTACAGGTTTGTGTGTTTGTTTTCCCATCATCTAAAATGATGTTTTTGTTCTGTTTTAGCCTTCAGTTGCCCCTTTGGAGCTATATTATCAACTTTCCTTTTTTTTATTATTAAAAAAAGCGGTATGTGGTTGCTCTAATGGTCAACCATGGTGCAACTCCAAACATGACCACTGAGATTTGTGGAAAAACGGCAGCTGCTAACCAAACCACTACTCTAATTTCAATATTGGTCTGTATTTCCATTTGTTCACCCCATGAAAACATGATATTTCATTATGATGAGATGGAAATCTTCCTTAGTCCAGCCATTTTCCCAAGGTTGTTTTCTATTATGTGTGTACCACGTAAACATGTGCAGGCGTGTTACTTTCAAGCCAGCCGGAAAGTCCTCCGATTCTGTTTTGGGAAGGAATTGACCAGCTGAGGGAAAACCAAAACTAAAACCAGAGGCTGAGTGGTCGTTTGTAGTTACTGGTGGAAAATAGACGATGTAGCAATTCAAGTGGTAGATTATATAGTTTGCCATGCCAAAATCATCCCCCAGGTTTAATGTTACATTACCTGCACACACACCATTTGACAAAATTTCTTCTGCTTGTTTCGGATAAAGAAACAGCAGTTAGATAATTTGTCTTGTTTACAAGTGAATTGTTGCTTTGAGGTGCAATGACTCAGGACCTTGAAATACTCCACCAAATCTCTTAAAAGAGCATATTGTGAATCCTCCTCAAGTGTCAGATATTTGCTCCTCTCATTTCTGAACCACTAATACTAAAATGGTCTTTTTGTCTGGGGTTTAAGCATTTTGATACGCATAATACCTTCAAAAAGCATTAATTTGAATAGCTTAAACAAGGGAGTGCTTAAATTAATTCAATTTAGCAGCTTCTGCAAAGCCTGATTTTCTTTTATAGGCAACCAGCCCCATTTTGGCATAAGAAATTTTGGCCTCCTGGGCCTGACATGGTCTTGGCCCCTCAACCCCCCGCGCGTGCGGGGGCACACACACGCACGCACTATGCAAGAATTACTGTATACTGTGAACAGACATGCACACTATCCTGTACAGAAGAGTGCACATACTGCACACACACTATTAGGTATACCACACAGACACTGACAAGCACAGGTTTCACACAGACACAGGGGGAGGGGATAAATGGCCTAAAATAAACATTTTGGAAAATGATTATGCCCACTTCAGTGATGGTGCATTGGGTCATTTGAGAGATATTATGTATTGGAAGTTGGTAGCTATCATGAAATAAACCCCCCACCCCACCCAAAAAACTAAATCGGACATGATTTTTGCCCCCTTTTCCTCCCTTCTATCATTAAAAATAAAATAATATCTTAGGAAAACACTTTGGCATAACGGCAGCTGTGCAGCAAATTGAGGCTCAAAGTCTGTATCTATTTGTGGTTAAGCTTGAGGAGAAGGAGAAAGGTAAAATGATAACATGCATCGGAGAGCACCACAAAGAAAGGTGTAGGCCAGTTCATGGTACAAGGGCTGCATGCAGGTCAAGATAGCCCATTTCCAAGAATGCTATAGTGGCTGGACAGGCACTGGACATGTCCTGAACTCAGTGTCAGACGTGGCTGCCGAATACTTGGATGAAGTGAAGCAGCTGACAGATCTCATCTGAAGACTGTCCTGGCCAGGCAGAGGATGGATGAGGAGACCTTCCCAATGGACCCTGTCAGTGAACAGGCTAGTAACATTGATGGCACCCCTGTGCACAACATTGGGATGGAGAGACAATGTGGCAAGGTGGACTACAAACTGAAGAAGTTGGGCACACTGAACGCAGTCAATAGGTCAATAATTTTACAGAAGTGCCAGGAGCTTCAGAGGTTTCAAGGCAGCAGCACAAGCAAAAAGGGAGGTTGAACTCAACTGGAGTAAATTCATGAAGGCAAAATTCGAGAGTAGGGCAGATGAGAAACAAGAGATGGCTCAAAGAAAGGAGAGTAAGAGACTAGACATGCTGGACACACTGAAATCTTTTGATGGCCCCTTCACGATAGTGGGGAAGTTGAAAAGTTCCTTGTGGATGAAAGTCTGCACAAGAATGCAAAGCTGCAGAGAATGAAGCTTGAGGTTCAGTTTGCCAGAGAAAGCACCAAGCTTCTGCCTAAAGTCAATCCTATCTTCACAATCCAGGTGACACTTCCCAGAAATGGCGAAAGTGCAATTCTCCAAGTCATAATGGATACTTAGAATTTTATGGTGGTGGTAAGTATTCATGAAAATAGGTAGCCTAACATTAGTGAATGGGTGAATTCTGGAAATAACCTAAAAATCTTACACAGTGCACCTTTAAGCAAGGGGTTTCTTTCGTGCTTTCAATTTTGCAAAATCATCCACCACATCATTGAAGTCCAACTCTCTTGTCAGCTCACTCTCAATTGCCATTAGAGATAACGCATTTAATCTTTTCTGAGTCATTCTTGTGCGCAGCTCATTTTTTACTCTTGACAAAAGAGAGAATGAGCGTTCTCCCTCACAGTTACTGACCGGTAGAGTGAGAAAAATCTGTAGCGCAATGTATGTATTAGGAAACGTAGGCTGTAGTCCAAAATGTATTATTGTTTTGAGCAGTCCTGAAGGGGTCCTCTCCTCATCAGTGTTGTTGAGCTGTATAAAAGATTTGAACTGTATAAGCTCCTGTCCAAGACTTTCATTGAGGTCAGATAGGTATGATTCAGTGAGAATCTTGGCCTTGTGAAGGACTGAAGCATTGGACTCTGTATCCAAAGAGAAAAGGACACTGAACAAATTGTTCAGATGTTTGTAGGCCTCCAGACGGTGATTAAGGCTTGAACTCAGTTGATCAATAGAGGCAATAAATGTCTCTATTTGAAACAGTTGCCTTCCCTCAAGCACAACATCTGGGGATGCTGATTCATCAGCAAACTTTTTACGTTTCCTCGTCCGTTCAGCCCTGTAAGATGGGGTGCCACCCAACATGTTTAAGGCTTTCTGCTCAAAATGATCAAATAGATCTCTTTGGGAGAGAACAAAGGTGCGCAGAGATTCCAGCAATCTAACTGCTGTACCAAGGTCCATGTCTGCTTATTGAAGTTGCAGACTTGTGGCCTGAAATCTGGACAGAACAGTGTCCCAAAAGCCTGCCATGAAGGCCATCTCAAGTGAATCCAGCTTCCGCACTAGACTGTCAGCTTCAGTTCGTGTGTCTCGTTTCTCTGTGTCATCAGTGGAAATAACCTGTAGTGCTGCTTTTATTTTACTGTAGTTCTGCCACAGTGCTTTGGTAGATTCTGCACGGCAACTCCAACGCGTGTTGGATAAAGCTTTAAGTGTGAGATCTATGTTGGAATTGCCAAATACCCTGTCCCATCGGTGTGTGGATGTAGTTGTGAAGTTGTAAATAGACTGAATCAAGTCAAAATACTTAGAGACTTCATTTCCACATCTGTCAATGCTGTTGACTCCCACCAAATTCAAAGAGTGAGCTGCACATGGAATATAGTGTATTAATGGGTTGCTTTTCTTTAAGTGAGCCTGCAACCCATTATACCTCCCTGACATGTTGCTTGCATTATCATAAGCCTGCCCCCTGCAATTTGACAGCTCTAACCCTAGATTTTCCAACACAGACATGACACAGTTAGCCAAACTTTCACCTGTATGGCTAGTAATGGGCTCAAAACCCACAAAGCGTTCAACAACACTGCCCTCTTTGCTAACAAAACGGAATATGAATGTCAATTGGTCCACATGAGATAAATCTGGGGTTGAATACACAATGATAGAGTAGTATTTGCTTGCTTGCAGTTCATCTGCTATAGCCTGTTTGGTTTTTGCACCCATCAATTCAATGAATTCCTCACAAATGGTGGAGGACAGATATGAGGTATTACCTCGACCCATCTGCCCAAACTTTCTGATGTGATCCTTTAGAAAGGGATCAAATTCAGCCAGGACCTCCAGAATACCAAGGTAGTTCCCATTGAGAGGAGACCCTAACGATTCATTTTTACCCCTAAATGCAAGGCCCCTTTCTGCAACGAATTTAATGACTGCAACAACTCTTTGTAACACCTGCCTCCAATAGCTGCTCTCTGCCTGAAACTGTTTGAACAGGTCTGCATCAACTGTGGCACTTTTGGCGCGGTTCAAGACTGCTTGCATGCAGGTTATGTGCTCAGCACTTCGCTCATGTTCACCAAATCTTTCTGAGTGTTTCCAATCACAATAGCCTGTCACAAAAGAATGCGTTTTTGGGGAAAACAGTTTGCATGCAAAGCAGTAAACATTACCAGTAGAGGGAGAGTACATCAGCCACTCTCTTTGTACTCGTTGTCCATTGGGCAAGTGTGAAGTAAAATGTTCATTGTTTAGGCATCAGCTTTTGCCTCCTAGCCCACTGTTCCTCACAGAAGCTGGATAATGGCTGTGACGGTTGTGAAATGATTTTGCACCTCTTTGAATAAGAACTTCCTTCATTGACTCAGTGAGGGTCTCAGCCCATTTAGCGGGACAACTAGGTAGAGTTGTCACTGTAGATGGTGTTGAAGAAAGATTCAGCTCATTTTCTATGCTGTCCAGAGGTGCAGTGACCTCACATTCATCCGAGCAACTGGCTACTGCTGAATTGGTTGAATCATAAGCATCAGAAGCATTTGGTTCAGTGTGTACACTTGTAGTGGTCTCAGGATCTTGGGAGCTACATGCTAGCTCTGGTGCATTGCTAACCTTAGCTGAATTTGCAGTAGCATTTATATAATTGCTTTCAGCAGATGTCTTTGTACTGAAGAAGCTGGAGATATTTGGAACACTCTCAAGTAAAACTGATTCCTTTTATTTCTTTTCTTGCTGAATTTTGTTTCTAGCTCCTCCACTTAAACGTTTATGATCCATATTTCCCTTCTTTCTTTGCACATTGGCTCTTCGCCTATCACAACAGATAAACCAACTATGTGTGTGTGTGTGTGTGTGTGTGTGTGTGTGTGTGTGTG